AGAAGAAGAAGAGATTGGATTTATACCCCACCCTTCACTCAGAGTCTCAGAGCAGCTTACAAACTCCTTTCCCTTCCCCTCCCCACAACAGACACCCTGTGAGGTAGGTGTGGCTGAGAGAACTCTTTCCAGAACTGTCATTGAGAGAACAGCTCTGACAGAACTATGGCTTGCCGAAGGTCATCCAGCAGCTGCAAGTGGAGGAGTGGGGAATCTCTCCCCATATGTACCCCGGAGAGCTTTATGGTCTGCCGAGCAACATCTCCTGGCTGTCCCTGGCCCAAAGGATGATCACTTAATTGTATCAGGCAGCCGGGTGTGGAAAGCTGGGTGACTCCCGTATTCTAGGGGTGCCTGGAATACTCCTTGACTCTCCAAACTGAGCATGATTAGGTTAACCGATGATATGGGCATTCTCTGGGGATGCCTGCCATTTTGAAACGGTGAGTTCCCAGCTGGGAACACCTTTAAACGGCAGGATGAGGGCCCAGTTTTGGTAGAAACCAACACAGCACAGGGGGAGGAGGGAGTCCTTCCTTCCTCCCTGCCATTTTTCCCCCCAACCCGCAGCTGTACTGGGGGAGGTCTTTGCCCATATGCCCCTTCGGCGCCATTCTGGGCTGGAAAAAAGGAGCGGGGGAAGGCAAAAGTCTCTCCTTTCCCTGCCGCACCGTGGTGCCAACCAGAATCAGATCCCCACAGTGCAGTTTAAAGGCGTTCCTGCCTGGGAACTCACTGCTTCAGAAGGGTGGACATAGCTGGGGATGCTCGTATCATCTAGGTTGGCCCTGAGTGTTCTGAAATATTGTGTACATTCTCACACTGCCACTTAGAAGCACTAGTCCCAGCCAGAACGTTATGAGCTTACCCCAGTATGAGGAATGCTGTCGACAGTGCATGCACAAAAGCGGCGCATGCACGTGAAATGCAGCTGACTTGAAACATGATCTTGGGACGCATGTAGCTGTGAACACGTGCCCACAGTGGCTTCCTGGCCAGTGGCCACTTCCAACGCCATCAGCTGAGCATGCTCAATATGCTCAAAATACTACAATCACAGGGGGTATTTGCCTTGAGAGGAAAGGGTCGTTTTGAGCAAGGCTAGCTTTGATGTTCAGATGCTGTCTTTGCAGAAGTCAGATCCTCATTTGCAAAAACTGTCATGGCTGGATCGGACCGAGTCCCATCATGGACCTGAAAACCGTCACCGTTGTACCAAATGAGTGTACAGATTGCTAGGAAAAGAAGCTGCAGAGCTTCTCCATGCGCAATATCTGATTTAAGAAATCCACAGTAAAATTTTCAAATTCAAATACCTTTTATTGGCATACAATATTAGAAGCATTTCCCAAGAATACAATCCAAAAGAAATTATAAAATAGATAGTCATGGCTATGTCAGGCCTAACTCAAGTTGTCACAAGCTAGATTTGACCATACAAAAGATGCCTGAATCATAAAATAAATTGGCATTCTAAACTTTTAAACAAGTTTTTAGACTTATAAATTAAGAATCATTAATATGATCAGGGTCACTCTTCCGTTTTAAAAAAAACATGGAGAAACTTAGCGGTCAGTTCAATGATCTCCGGATCTCGTGAAGCAAGGAGAAATTGTACCTTGATTCTATCCAATTGGCCTGCTACCAACCTAAGGGGGGAAATCCACAGTAGTGACTAAGAAAGCAACCCTCAGGTGGTCTACTCAGAATACCGCTTAGAAGAAGAAGAGAAGAAGAGATTGGATTAATACTCTGCCCTTCACTTGGAGTCTCAGAGCAGTTTACAGACTCCTTTCCCTTTCCCTCCCCACAACAGACACCCTGTGAGGTAGGTGGGGCTGAGAGAGCTCTTTTGAGAACTGCTCGTTCAAGGACAGCTCTGACGGAACTGTGGCTTGCCCAAGGTCATCCAGCAGCTGCAAGTGGAGGAGTGGGGAATCAAACCTGGTTCTCCCAGATTAGAGTCCACGCACTTAACCACTACACCACACTGGCTCCCAAGAAAGGGTTTTTAGGATTGCAATGTAAAGGCCCTGGAGTCCAATCCCAAGCCTATAGAATATGGCAGTTCTGAAACCCATCTGGCTTTCCTTTTCCAATCTCAACCGACGGTCCAGAATCCCTCTTTAGGTCAAGAATTCCCCCCCCCTTTTTTAAAAGAATATTTCCCAATCCATCTGGATGTAAATACAGCCTCTCCTTTTTTTTAGAGTGTGCCAAGCGAGCTACCTCCTCCCGAATCGAGCCTTTAAAAATCTGCTTAATTAAACAGAAACATATAGTAATTAAAAACCAAAGGCCTCGGGGGTTGCAGCTTGTGGGAAGACCTATTTCTTGCCGATCAATTTCCATATCATTTAGACCATGGAAGAGCAGAATGAGGCTCACCCATCTCATTTGCGTGAGGCTGTTCTTCACCCTCCCAGATTCCCTTAAATAGGTCTTTGCTTCCATGGCAGGGGCAAGAGAAAAGCCGAAACCTCCGAAGGCAAACAAACAGAATAATCTGCTGCGCTGTACAAATCACACGAGAGACTCCTGTCTTCTTATACAGTTCTACTTACAACCAAAATTAATACACATAACAAATAGTTTTGCCACCATGCATAAATGACAACTGCACCAGTTGAATAGTGACCTAATCGTCCTTGAAAGTACAAGTCTCTCTTCAGGTTGATGCGGTCACGACTCATCGTGCAGAGAAGAGTTTCCAAAAGAAAGAACATAAGAACGTAAGAGAAGCCAATGTTGGGTCAGGCCAATGGCCCATCTAGTCCAACACTCTGCCACACAGTGGCCAAAAACACCAGGTGCCATCAGGAGGTCCAGCAGTGGGGCCAGGACACTAGAAACCCTCCCACTGTTGCCACCCCCACCCAGCACCAAGGATACATTGCCATCACTTGCCCCAGCCTAAGAGTCCCTATCTATACCTTGTGGCTAATAGCCACTGATGGACCTCTGCTCCATATACTTATCTAATTCCCTCTTGAAGCTGTCCATGCTTGTAGCCGCCACCACCTCCTGTGGCTGTGAATTCCATGTGTTAATCACTCTTTGGGTGAAGAAGGACTTCCTTTTATCCCTTCTAACCCGACTGCTCAGCAATTTCATGGAGTGCCCACGAGTTCTTGTATTGTGAGAAAGGGAGAAAAGTACCTCTTTCTCTACCTGCTCTTTCCCATGCATAATCTTATAAACCTCGATCATGTCACCCCTCAGCCGTCGTTTCTCCAGGCTAAAGAGCCCCAAGCATTTTAACCTTTCTTCATAGGGAAGGTGTTCTAACCCTTTTATCATTCTAGTTGCCCTTTTCTGCACTTTTTCCAATGCTATAATATCCTTTTTGAGGTGTGGTGACCAGAACTGTACACAGTACTTCAAATGAGGTCGCACCATTGTTTTATAGACGGCATGAGCTCAAGACTAGCTGTGCTGCGAACCAACAGAGTGGCTAGCCAACATAGGCTGGTGATCAGAGCCTGATTCGTAGCTACTTGGAACATATTTGTAGACTTTGTAAGTCACTTTGAATCTTGCCAGAGCTGGGTTGAGCTCCATCACTAAAGAAAAGCAGCCTGATGAAGCCCTAAGAAACAGCAAAGCAACCAAGGTCTGCCATCACCGCTCCTTTGGTTTGCACTACAGCCAGGGCTCTTTTTGTAGAAAAAGCCCAGCAGGAACTCATTAGCATAATAGGCCACACCCAACCGCATAAACCCATTAGCCTGTTAGGCCACACCCCTGACAGCACAGCTCATTAGCACATTAGGCCGCACCCCCATGTTACCAGAAGTGTGGTCATCCAGCCACACCCACCTTTTGCTTGTTATTCTGTTTACCTTGTTTGTTGTCAAACCAGGGCTCTTTTTGTAGCAGGAACTCCTTTGCATGTTAGGCCACACACCCCTAATGTAGCCAATCCTAATGAGTTCCTGCTGGGCATGGCCAACTTGGGAGCCAGCCGGAACTCCGTTCCTGTGCATTCTTGCCCAAAAATAGCCCTGACGACAACTAGTCCTGAGTTCATGTCATCTGTTGCATGCTTTCTTCTGGAAACTCTTCTCTGCACCATGAGCTGGTGACTGCATCAACCTGAAGAGAGACTTGTACTTTCAAGGACTATTAGGTCACCATTCAACTGGTGCAGTTGTCATTTATGCATGGTGGCAAAACTATTATGTGTATTAATTTTGGTTGTAAGTAGAACTGTATAAGAAGACCATAGTCCCAAGTGTGATTTGTACAGGGTGACAGATTATTCTGTTTATTTGTTTCTATAACTGCGTTCTCTGTATTTCCATTTTTGTGTGTTTGAATACCTCCGAAGAAGCTGGGGTTGGGGAGAGATTTTTACACTGTTGCAGCTCTTTTTAAGGGTCCACATATACTCGGTCATCAATCCTTACAACTCTGTATGAGAGGTTGTCAGGGTTGTAGCCAGAAAAGTTTGGGTGGTGGGGCATTGAGAAATCTTGGGGGGGCAAGGGGGGGAGAGATCCCATCAGCAGGCAGGCAAGTGAAGATGAGAAGGGCCTTTCATTACCTGCCAGCCACACTCATTCGCCTTGGCCATTACAGGAGAAGGGGAGCAGCAGAGAGTGCATACTCGCCAGGTATTAATTGCACCGGCCGGCTCTCCTTCTCTTGTAGCGGCCAAAGCAAATGAATGTGGCTGGCAGGTGAGGGCAGGCGAAGCGGGAGTAATGGGGCATGGGGCACGAGTGGGGGGCACTGCCCCTAAATTCCCCACTGTGGCTATGGGCCTGGAGGTTGTCACCAGCAAGAGAGAATGAAAAGAAGCCAGAAAGATTTCCATCATGCCTGATGGTCATCAACAAGAGAGAAGGGGAAGCAACCAGGCAGTCCTCCATCATGCCTGGTTGTCGCCAGCAAGAGGGAAGGGGAAGCAGCCAGGGAGTCCTCCATCATGCCTGGTGGTCGCCAGCAAGAGAGAAGGGTAAGCAGCCAGGCAGGTCTCCATCATGCCTGGTCGTCACCAGCAAGAGGGAAGGGGAAGCAGACAGGGAGTCCTCCGTCATGCCTGGTGGTCACCAGCAAGAGAGAAGGGGGAACAGCCAGGGAGTCCTCCGTCATGCCTGGTGGTCGCCAGCAAGAGAGAAGGGGAGGCAGCCAGGGAGTCCGCCATCATGCCTGGTGGTCGCCAGCAAGAGAGAAGGGGAGGCAGCCAGGGAGTCCGCCATCATGCCTGGTGGTCGCCAGCAAGAGAGAAGGGGAGGCAGCCAGGGAGTCCGCCATCATGCCTGGTGGTCGCCAGCAAGAGAGAAGGGGAGGCAGCCAGGGAGTCCGCCATCATGCCTGGTGGTCGCCAGCAAGAGAGAAGGGGAGGCAGCCAGGGAGTCCGCCATCATGCCTGGTGGTCGCCAGCAAGAGAGAAGGGGAGGCAGCCAGGGAGTCCGCCATCATGCCTGGTGGTCGCCAGCAAGAGAGAAGGGGAGGCAGCCAGGGAGTCCGCCATCATGCCTGGTGGTTGCCAGCAAGAGAGAAGGGGAGGCAGCCAGGGAGTCCGCCATCATGCCTGGTGGTCACCAGCAAGAGGGAAGGGGAAGCAGCCAGGGAGTCCTCCATCATGCCTGGAGGTCACCAGCGAGAGAGAAGGGGAAGCAGCCAGCGAGTCCTCCATCATGCCTGGTGGTCACCAGCAAGAGGGAAGGGGAAGCAGCCAGGGAGTCCTCCATCATGCCTGGTGGTTGCCAGCAAGAGAGAAGGGGAAGCAGCCAGCGAGTCCTCCATCATGCCTGGTGGTCACCAGCAAGAGGGAAGGGGAAGCAGCCAGGGAGTCCTCCATCATGCCTGGACCCAGCTTCAGTTGAGAACTTGCTCGTTCAGGCTTCAAAAACCACCATTGCTGAGGGCGGGGGGGGGAGAGAGGCAGTAACTAGTTATTGTGCCTGGAACCAGGTCCTTCCAGCCACTGCTGCCTTTTGTTAAAAAGAGGAGGCAGCAGCTAGGCATCTTTAATTGTTCAGGGACTGATTTCACTAAAATCATTTTTCAATTCATTCTTTAACTGCTGTAACTCAAAGGTCTACAGCCAGTGACTCCAGAGACAATTGTGGCTCAGCACAAAACCAAACGGGGCTCTTTAAAAATAACAATGGTCCCGGTCACATGTGCCGGAAAACGCGGCGGGGGGGCGTGGCTATTTGCGCCGTCGCATTTTGACCCACTATTATGCGGTCAGATGCGACGGCAGCACACCGGGGGTTTGTCCGTTGGCGCGTGCTTCCAGCGCACTTCAACAAGGACAGCCGGAGGGAATAGGCACGCGCCGGCACGATCACATGGATCGAGCCCATCTGCGGCCTGTGGCAAACCATTTGCTAGTGGAGTTTGGCAGGTACTTCGTAACTGCGCCTCTTTGGCCGGACACCACGGGTTGGCCACGGGTGTGCTGCGCTTGCCAGATGTTGCGGTTTGATCGCACCCTAAAAATCCACCCGGCATCTGTGGCTCTCCCGCGGCAAACTCTGCGTGTGATCGGAGCCAATGAAATCTTTTGGTATATTGGAGGGGTAGTAGATGCTACGAGGGAAGGCAGCCTGGTGTAGCCTGATTCTGTCAGGTCTTGGAAGCTAAGCAGGGTCAGTTCTTGGATGGGAGACCACCATGGAAGACTCTGCAGAGGAAGGCAATGGCCAACCACCTCTGCTTCTCACTTGCCTTGAAAGCCCCTTGTGGGGTCTCCGTATGTCAGCTGTGATTTGACGGCCCCTGACACATACAGTAGGTACTAGAATAACCAGTATGTGAATGGAATAGAAGCAGGGACAACCAGTCCCCTAGGCAAACCTAGGTGATGGCATAGAGTGCCAGTGCTGAAGAGGGCACCCAAAATGTTAGAGGGCCACAGGCAGCTCTGGGATCCAGGTTGCAGGGACCACCATGGAAGACTCTGCAGAGGAAGGCAATGGCCAACCACCTCTGCTTCTCACTTGCCTTGAAAGCCCCTTGCTGAGGTCAGTACTTGGATGGGAGACCACCATGGAAGACTCTGCAGAGGAAGGCCGTGGCCAACCACCTTTGCTTCTCACTTGCCTTGAAAGCCCCTTG